ACTTAGGTATATACTATTCTTTATTGCACTTATATATAAAATACAGAGATTAACAAACAATCAAATAAGTTAGCAAAGGTGGACTTATCTCTAGAAGAGATCTCTTCCAGTCAACCTAAGTGAGTTGGAGAGATAGTATTAAAAAAACTTAACTACTTAAGGATTTTTCAAATCACAGTCTTAATTTCTAAGACATTTAAAAGCTCTTTTTTAGTTTTACAACAGTATCTATCAGATATTATAAACTAGCGACTCACCCTCGCTTTGTATCTCACAATATATTAGTTTGGTTTATTTAATCATAAAATACCACTTTAATTAAAAACAAAAACTTCCTTCCTATTTTAACGTAAGAATGTAAAGTTTCGCAGCCGATTCCAAAATTATTACTTTGAAATAAAGGAAGTTTATTGTTGGTATAAAAAATGTTAGTTTACAAAGAACCGGGTAACAGGTGCGAGACGGAAGCTGGTTCGTGACTCATTGGGACGCGAGATAAGGAGCAAACTTTTAATGAACTGTGATATTCTACTTTAGAACAGAGATGATTTTTTTTTAGTGCATAAAACTAACATTTTCCAATTATTATGAATTTTGTTGAAACAATATTTTTACGTAGTTGGGAATTGTATTCGTTATTGGTGTTCCACTGAGTAGTGAAAAAATATAAACGTAATTGCTATGTTAGAAAAAGGTAAAAACACTTTTTTTCTGTGTTATATAATAGTTACGAGTATATTATGTTTAGTTCGTCTATAAGCAAACTTTTTGAGGATCCCTTTTAAGATATTATATTATTGACGGTATAATCATTTTAATTAAATATATATAAAAAAGTACACATGTCATGTTTGTATATGATTGCTTTTTTTAATTTTAATGTATCTCTAACAATTGGATAATATCATGCCATTATGTTAAGTACATTATGAAAATAATGTCAGTAGTGTTGTGACGATTTCAATATCGTATCTGAATAATCGGTAAAACAATAGAAATAATCGAAACTTAAAATCGATATTTTCAGCTACAATTCAGCAGTAATTCTAACATAAACGTTATTACACAATCTAATCGGCTGTATGTTACGGCGTAAGCTATCTGACTGAGAAAAATTTACTGGCTCGTTATTTTCTAGTGGCACGTATGAGTTTAGAGAAATTTATAGAAGGGTTAGTGTACAAATACAGGGATTGTACCTTTAAGTTAAAAGACGATAGATTATTAATCTATAAATATATTAAAATTCTAACTCAGTCGAATCTGTACATTAAATATTTTTTGGAAAATATTATTGAAATAGTCATAATTATCGATACAAAAGCCGAATCTATAGATAAACATTTTTTTAGAATATTTGTCTGTCTGTCTGTGACAACATCACGAGAAAAGCATTGGACGGTCTATCACGGTGGACTATCACAGTTCATGAGATACAGTCTGGTGACAGACGGACAGACAGAAGACGGACGGACAGCAGAGTCTTAGTAATAGAATCTCGTTTTACCCTTTGGGTACGGAACCCTAAAAAGGGCTGAGTCAGTGAGTACATAATAATATATTTCGTTAATTTCTAAAGAATATTATGGCTATTCTTCACTAATTAGTTAATTAGTTCTGCGGTAACAAAAACAATTCTAATAGCAAGTAATTCAATAAATACCAAATAATATCACATATAAATAAACAATACATTTTATTGTAAACGTTTATATGATAAACGATGTGTGGTTTCAAAACAAAGCATATTTACAATGGAAATAATACGATGTGGTAAAACAAAACACGCAAATCATTGGCGTATTAAAATAGGCAATCAATTTGAATATCGTTTTTAGTGAACTTATAATTTTATGAATAAACTAGCGACTTATCCTCGCTCCGCTTGGGTTCGTCCCTAGATACGTTTTAACGTTCAGTATAGATTTCTCAAAGATGAGATATTTTCCCGCAGTAAAAAGTATTCTATATGGTGACCTAGATAACCAGCTATCATCATACCAAATTTCATCAAAATCTGTCCAGTAGTTTTCTCGTGATGCGGTCATAGACAGACAAACGAAAATTCTAAAAACTATACATTCGGCCCCTGTATCGATAAAATTACTATTTCAATAAGATTTTCCAATAAATATATTATAATGTATAGATTCGACTCAGTTAGAATTTTTTTATAATATGTATGTATATGTATGATAATTGATTCTACTACGACTAATTTACTACATCGAGTATCTTTTAAAGTATGCATTTGTAAGCACTAGTGACTTAATCTCACTTCGCTCAAGTACAATCCTAAATGCCAAACTGTAGCGTGTTTGGCACTTGTGTTACTCCAGATCATACTCTATATCTGGAACCCTGGGTACTTAATTTCATCCAAATCTGTCCAGCAGTTTTCGCGTGATGGGGTAACAAACATGATGTTCTTGCCAATCTCTCCAAGAAGTGGCCAATCTCTTTGAGACTAGCCAACTGCGCAGGAGATATTATAGTGCACAAGTGTACGCGCAGGCACAAGTGGGACTCCGGTGGGACGACTGCTCGACACGACCAGTGAGAGTTAAGGCGCAGGACCGACGGCTTTACGTGCTTAAACACCGCCAACTTCCCAACTCCGGGCTGTTACTGAGACTTACTATACAGAAAGACTCAATAACTAAACTTGGCCCGACCCGGGACTCGAACCCAGGACCTGCGAGTGTGCAGCCATACATGCTAGCCACTACACCACCGAGGTAGTTAACATAAATACAAACATATACACAATATACATACACATACAAACTTTCACATTTATAATAGCAATCTGATAAGTAAATCACGTAATGGTGCAAAACTCATAATAAATTGTATGTACTACTTACGTACATAGGATATGTATATGTATATGTCTACTACTTGATATTGCAAAGATTGACATAAATCATTTAGAGTCTAGACCATTCGTTAGCAAATACATTTCATTCTCTGTTATAATCGATTTCAGATAAAAAAAATATTTGAGCCATTTCAAGAAACAAAAAAAACTTCATCCAAGTATTACTAGAGCGAGAAAGTGCCAGCAGTCAACCAGCTTCGTTAGCGATCCACTTCAAGTCTGCTTTTTACCAGGAGTCAAATACACGAGTGCACACTTATCGGGCGGCTCTTTCAATGAATTCAGTAAAAGGTGAAATGGTTTAAAATTGACATACATGCATACGCGTATATACTGTACAGTTTTCATTATATAATAAATTAATAGTAAACCAAAAAATCTTTTATAATTCTTATTAAAATTATAATTGAATTTACATTTTATAAAGATTTTTTTCTGTGAAATAGGTAGATGTAGTGATATTATATTACTGTAACTCCCATTACTTCATCCTTATCCATACTAATATTATAAATTTGAAAGTTCCTGAGGATGGATGGATGGATGTTTGTTACTCTTTCATGCCAAAGCGGCTGAACGGATCTGGATAAAATTTGGCACAGAGATAGATTATAGTCTGGAATAGCACATAGATTACTTTTTATCTCGGTAAAATGGGCGGTTCTCGTGAGATAGATTTATTTTTGTCTAGGAACCCAAAGCGAAGCGAGGGTGACTCGCTAGTAGTATTTATATTTTGATAATATATACTATATTTTATTACAAATTAGTACGTCCTTATTTACTCTGATCGCTTGCCTACGTCAGTTAAGGTTTTAAGAATCATCGTGTACATAAGCACACAATTGTAGGTAATTGTGGTAATTTAAAATTTCAAGTTTCAAGATTTTGGAATTTATAACAATGACTTTAATGATAAAAATATTCGAAGATCACATTATAATGACACAAAAGTATAGTTTATCAGTACATAATTAGCGGGTTATTATGTATTGTACACAGAAACAAAAAACAGCAAAAACTTTACTTATTCTTTAGTTCAGTTGAGTTCCTTATTTTATATCGATAGTTAGACCGATCGGAATCTATTTATTTTTGAAAGAAAAAAATAAAAATAATAACACTTGAAGTTTTATCTTTAAACAGTTAGTATATAAGAAACAGAAATTCGTAAAATGATACCCCCGAGAAATGGGATGAAAAGCGTTGAAAAATAGCTATTTTCAATTTCCAGCTTACTGTGACGTCCTATCGAAAAATGTTCTGTACAAAAGTTGTAGGTCTAGTTAAAATCTACAACTTTTATAGATGACACTTTTTACAATAACCTCAAAGTGTTCGAGATATTTGTAAAAAAAACCGTTTCTTTTTAATTTTTCACTGGTTTTTTATTTTTTATTTCTGCAAAAATGTTTTGATTTTCATTAAACTACGGGAAAGTAAGCTTTGGAATACTAAATACTTTATAATAATGAAAAAAAATTGATATTGAAATATTTAGCTGTTTTCAGAAATTTATGTTTTATGGTGTCGGGAGGCTGACAATCAAGTAAGTTTACATTAAAAAAAAATCGTTCAATTTTCAGGTAGCGCTCATTTTTTTCGTCTTGAACTTATACTTTTTGAAAACTTCAGGTATTAACTTTTTTGTTCCTAAACCGGATTCCTTTTGGACTAGCTAGTTTAGCGGAAATTATTCTTAATATATTAATAATATCAAACACTGTCAAATATTATTATAATAGCAAATCACGTTCGATTCGCTCGGGTACGACTATTTTCTATTATTATAACGTAATCGAATGTGGGGTACATGTACATTGTACAGTAATATTTTTTGAAGTATTATTTAGATTAAATTATATATGAAACAACAATATATCGCTTAAATGCAAATTAGCTTCAGTTTTGTTACGCATTTATGCATTCACATTCAAATATAGTAAATTTGAAAATACTAAAGTTATTTAAATGTGACTATAATGGATTGAAATGACGCAAAATGTATAGAATAATTTATTTCATTTTCATTGTGATAAACAGTGGGTTTCAATGTGCAAATATTTTAGCAGTTTTTCCCAATCCATCTCTAAGTCATCAAATTGTTTTTCGGCCTCTTATGCATGCGTTGGCTAAGCGTGGACACCAAGTAACGGTAATTACTACTGATCCTGCGTTTCCAAAAGGACATAGCCCTCAAAATCTTACAGAAATTGATGTTCATGACATATCCTATAAAATATGGAATGAATTTTTAAAATCTGAAAGGAGACAAGAACGTGATCCTCAACTTAATTTAAGATATATTTTTGTGGCCTTGAACGAAATATTTGAGAAACAGTTAAAATCTCCTGAAGTTTATGAACTTATCCATAATAAAGAGAAGGTTTTTGATTTATTATTCATTGAAACATGCGTAAGACCTACCTTAATTTTGTCACATATTTATAAAGTACCAGTAATAGAAATGAGTTCTTTCGGTGGAATTTATGAAACATTTGAAACTACCGGTGCTCCTACAAATCTTCTCTTTTATCCTTTAGCGCACCGTGAGAGATTCAACAATTTATCAATATGGGAAAAAATATTGGAATTCTATGCTCAATACAAAGACGAGCAGCTATATACAGAATTAGTAAAAGAAGAAGAGGGAATGTTAAAGAAAATATTTGGATCAAATATACCTGGGATAAGAGAACTAAAAAAGAATGTGCAAATGCTTTTTTTAAATGTTCATCCTATATGGGATTTTAATCGGCCTGTTCCCCCAAATATTGTTTATTTGGGTGGATTACACCAAACACCTTCAAAACAATTACCTCAGGTATTTATATTTATATTATGTGTACAGTTATATTACGATTAATTAAAAAATAGTGATACAAAGATAGACAGACACATTTTTTGTCCTTGAACTTAATGAATTTCTTTTGTTACAAAACAATATGCAAGTGAAACATTAGAATAGATAATATTGTACTAGATATACTCAATATTTAATACTATAACTATAGGAATTACAATCTTACCTCGATTCATCTAAAAATGGAGTTATATACATGAGCTTTGGTACCAACGTGGAGCCATCTTTGTTACCGAGTGAAAAGCTAGAAATATTTGCAAAAGTCTTTTCTAAATTACCGTACAACGTTTTATGGAAGTGGAATACCGACGACAGTCCAGAACGATCTAACAATGTTCGAACTTCTAAGTGGTTTCCACAATCTGATTTGCTAAGTAAGTTCCATACCTATTTCAAAACATTATGATTGTGAAGAAGATAATTTTAGTAATTTAACAATTAATTGAAATTAATAAAATTAATTGTAAATCTAAAAAAAACTGTGCGAAAAACTATGTGAATTTATTGAGATTCAAATACATCAGTCTCTCAGATTTGCATTTATTTGTTCATTTAGCTTCTCTGAAAATGACCATTCGACACAAAAACCTATTTTAAAACCATGTCTTATATTTTTTGTTCCAGAACATCCAAATGTAAAGTTATTCATTACACAAGGAGGTCTACAATCATCGGATGAAGCTATAACTGCTGGTGTACCTTTAATTGGTGTACCGATAGTTGGAGATCAATTCTTCAATGTAGAACACTATGTAAGACTTAAAATAGGAATCAGACTAAACATAAAATCCCTTACTGAAGATATTTTGGAGAACGCCATAGAAAGTATAATTAAAAATGATAGGTAAGTTCTTTAAATTAATATCATTGACATTTATAGAAGATTTTGCTAATAAATTATATACAATCAAATTAAATGAACTTAATTTCTTTAATAATTTAAATAGTTTTGTAATCTTTATTTAAGCTACCGTCAAAATATCATTAAAATACGAACCATAATGCGTGATCAACCTCAAACTCCCCTGGAACGTGCCGTATGGTGGACAGAGCACGTTCTACGACACGGCAGTGCCTCCCATCTACAATCAACTGCCGCTCATAAACACTGGACTGAGTACTACGCCATAGACTTAGTGTTATTATTAATAAGTTTTCTAGTTATATCTTTGATGGTAATAATTTTATCTCTGCAATTTCTCATATCAAAACTTAAATGTATAAATTTTAAAACTAAAGTACAATAATTTTTAGATACTGCTATGTTAACATATATTTTTATGTATATATACAAATAACCACGTTTTAAAATATTTGTGTTAACTAATATTGGTACATCTATACGGTAAGACATGTATCAGTCTGGTCAAAATAAACACAATTTCTCTTTTACTCCATTCAATCAATCAAGTAACCACATTTGAAGTGCTTATTCTAGAAGTTCCATAAATTTTCACATTACAAATTACTTTATATTCGATCGATATTAAGGGTTATCTTATTTAATAGCTTACGAAAATAAAGTCAATAGTCTTAATAAAATACTATTACTGCTGGGTTCTATTCCAATCTCCATATTAATACTTAATGCGTGCCACAGGGTTGGCACCTCAGTCTTCTATTGTCTATACACATAATAAAATTGTAACTAAGCCGAATCTGTACATTAAATATTTTTTGGAAAATCTTATTGAAATAAACATTATTATCGATACAGAGGCCGAATCTATAGTTTTTAGATTTTTTGTCTGTCTATCTGTTCGCATCACAGATAAACCACTGGAAGGATTTTGATGAAATTTGGTATGATGATAGCTGGTTATCCGGGTCAACATAAAGGATACTTTTTACCGCGGGAAAATATCTCCTTTCTGAGAAAAAATGCAAAAACTGCAATTTAAGAGTCCACTAACTGTAAAACTTAAGATTTTGGTTTTCGGTCATCTGAACGCGGGCAGAGCCGCGGGCAATGCTAGTATATAATATAATTCATGCATAAAGGTATTTTATGTATACATATTTCAAAGATCTTTTATTTTTTATTTTAGTCTTTATAATAAAACTATTTAACTTTAAAAAAACACGCGCCCCTGTTGCTCTATTTGTCCCCTGCACCGCTTGCTATTACAATGCCATGTTATATGTACCTAGTCGCTATAATAGTTCTTATGCTAACTATAGCTTTTATGTAATTTTGCTACTATTTTTAAATTCTTTTCTTTATGTAGTCCTTTTATCATATGGTGCTTTCGTGCTATTATGTGTTTAAATATGAACTATTTCTTCCGTGTAAATTTTGACAATACACCTGACTTTAACGTGAACTTTGCCTACATTATTTCTATCTGCATATAACTAAAACTATATACTATTACTACCACATATAAATGTTTACTCAAAAACAGTGCAAACGAAAATACTTAAAATTTCGTTCACTCTACTACAGCTTTCCTCTTACTCAAATATTTACTAAAGGCTTTCGTATATAAATTCTAATCTGCACATATGAATAAGGCTAGAAACATAAACAAGTTTGATAACTGTATATATATATATATATATATATATATATATATATATATATATATATATATATATATACATTCAAATTAAATTCTGTATAAAGGAGTAATAAAACTGTACAAATTTATATTTATAGAAACAACTGGTCTCAGTTTGTTACCTAACTATAATCAATAAAAGAACGTTTGTATAACTTAAAGAGCCATTAAGTTTTGGTATCCGCTAATATATTGATAAAAGATGGTTAGATTAATATATTTTTTTAATCCATACTTATATTATAAATGTGAAAGTGTGTCTGTTTGTTTGTCCTTCTTTCACACCGAAACGGAGTGACGGATTGTTTTGATTTTTTGTGTGGAGATAGTCGGAGGGCTGGATTACATCTTACCGCGGGAGATTATCTTATTCCAACGGGAAAACACATAATACAATCCAAAAAAATATTGATGATCAGAATTAATTGAAACTTGGTATTAATGCTCTTCAATAAAATAAATACTTTTTTAAACATTTTTCGAAATTCATCCTATAAGGGCGTAAAATAGGGGATAAAAGTTTGTATGAAATTGCGCTTTTAGAGATTTTTTGTAGTTTTAGCGCGAGCGAAGCCGCGGGTTCCGCTAGTTTTATTATAATTAAAAGTATGTGCGAATCGGTCAACAATTTAGCAGTTTTCCATATTCCATCCATAAGTCATCAAATTGTTTTTCGACCTCATACATGAGTTGGCTAAGTGTGAACATCAAGTTACAGAGATAACCAGAGACCCAGCATTTTCAAAGGGGCAAAGTCTATAAAATCTCATATAAATTGACATTCATAATATATCTTATAAACCATGGAGAGAATTTATATCTGAAAAAAGATTACAAATTAGTGATGTTATAAAAATCATCAGAAACGTCTACGAGGTGTCGTATGAAATATTTGAAGCAATATTAAATTCTTCTGAAGTAAAAAACTTATCCATAATAAAGAAAATACTTTTTACCTGTTATTCGTGGAAATATGTGGCAGAATATCTTTAATATTTTCAAATATTTACAAAATGCCAGTCATAGAAATAACTTTGTTTGGTGGCATTTATGAAACATTCGAAACTGCTGGTGCTCCAACAAATCCTTTCTTTTATCCTTTATCAACCCGTCACAGACTGAACGATTTAACGCTATGGGAAATATCGGAATTGCAAGCCCAATACAATGTCGAGCAGGTATACGCAGAATTAGCGATAGAAGAAGATCATATATTAAAAAGGATGTTTGGTCTTGATGTACCCGAAGTTAAGGAGCTAAGAAAGAATGTTCAAATGCTATTTTTGAATGTTCATCCTCTGTGGGATTTTATTAGACCTGTTTCTGCAGATCCTTTATTTGGGTGGCTACAACCAACATCGTCAGAGCAGTTACCACAAGTAATTACAATTAAATTATGATAGTTATACTGCTTACTTACATTTTATATAAATATATGGCAGATTTAATGAACACATTTTTCTACATATTAGTCTTTGGAAAAGTAAAATTTTAAAAGGTGTAATAACTTACATATGAACACAATAAATGAAATATATTATATTATTTTTATAATCAGATTTAATAGCAAAATTTTAATTTCTATCATTACAAGAAATTAGACGGACAGAGAAATGTTACAACAATTCCTGAGGAGCATATGAAGTTATTTATAACCATTCATAATATATTTTGTAGATGGTTGAATAATGTCTCTTTGATGGATTAGATTAATTCTTTTTTTATGAAAGTTTTATTTAGATGTTTGATGGCCACGTATACAACGATAAACCTTTGTGGCTGTAATATACAGTTAAGCCTACTATGATCCTTAAACTAACAAAGTGTCATTTTTTTATGTAGATTTAGAATTTATCAGGTTAATAAAATATTTTATCGTTAAATATTATTTTGCAAATTAGTTGCTATCTAGTTTGAAGCGCAATAAAACAATAAGACGACTATTAATAATAAATAATCATTCAGCTAAAATAAAGTGGTTCGACTTTTTGGGCTTTCATAAAAATATTAGCATAATTGAGGTCGTGCTTAGATATTCGCAGTGAGCAAAGTTTTATAATGAAAAATGGATGACTTTTAAAATAATATAGTAATGCCTCATTATTTTAGGTTATGTGAGATTAGATTTTATGAGGTTTACTTATATTATATATCAATGTCGTCTATAGGAATTACAATCTTATCTCGATTCCTCTGAAAATGGAGTTATATATCTAAGCTTTGGGCTTATAAACGTCTTTATTACTAACTGAAAAAATACGAATATTAGCAAATGTTTTTTAAACTACCTTAAAATGTTCTGTGGAAATGGAATACCGATGAGAGTCCACGACGATCCAAAAAATCCGAATTTCTAAATGGTACCTACAATCTACTTTACTGAGTAAGTTCTTAAATTAGAATTTGTAAATTAGACCTGTTTACATTTATCTGGTTTTGACATCTACCGTCACTCTGAGTGTTAGCGTTAATACCTCACGTGACCATTTCGATGACGACTTACATGAATTTACTCCCCAAACCTGCCTATAAGTTAATAAGTTTAAGATCTAACAATTAATCTGAATATCCAAAATAGCAACTGTTTTTTTATAGTTTTAGGTTTTCACTTCTGTCAGCAGTCCTCATGATTACTTTTTTCATTTGTTGTAGTTATCGTTAAAATATTAAGAAATTGCACACAATAATGCTTGATCCACCTCAGACTCCTTTAGAGCGCGCCGTGTGGTGGACAGAATATGTTCTTCGACACAGCGATGCGTTATATCTACGCTTTCCTGCAGCTGCTCATATGCACTGAACTAAATACTATGCCATGGACATACTATTATTAATAATATTCAGTATTATAGTTATATTACTAATGCTACCAGTATTAACATTACGGCATTTTTTATAAAAACTTAAATACAGTTGTTTTAAGACTAAAATTCATTAACTTATAGGTACATGTTATTATAATATTACATTACAGTATTTTTGATAAGCTTGTGCTTGTTTATGAAGGCTTTAAAATTTTATTTACCCAAGTTTTGTTTAGTGAATATAATGAGGATAAAAGGGATCATCAAACTATTTAAATGCCGCAAGTTACATTTCATCTGCAAATTATAATTTCGTAACATAGGAAAGGGCAATAAAGTTTTATACACGCTAGAAAGAGATAGTAAAATTACCATTATAACATCTAAGTAGAAGTAATTCGTTTATATTTGCTGAGCTATAAATGGAAAGGTTTTATTTGAAATAGTTGAATAGTTTCTAACTACCTTCATTAGTAGTACTATTGAATGACATGTTGTCGTTAGAAATATCTACATAATATATGTGAAATTATTTTATATCAAGATAACGAAGCCTATTGTCATATTCTATAAGACATTCAACAACAACAAGGTCAAAATTAATTATCTATTCCCTGAATTTGAAATAATAATTCAATTGAAATATAAAGTGATACCTGTGCAATAAATTACCAAAATACTATTACCATTAACGAAATAAATTATAAAATTTATCAATAAAGGTACAGAATATGACGATGACGATGATGCGAATATTTAAAAAAAGTAAAATATGAAATCCTTTAAAAAGCTAGGACTATATATTCTAACCGGTGTTGCTATTGAAAATATTTAATATGCAATATACATACTATAAGAGATAAGAAAGATTAAGATTACATAAAAATTCCTGTACAAAAGTAGAACTATTAAAATTGTCATGAAATCGAAAATAATGGAGAATAACAGAATAACACGGAAGAAAATAAAATGAAAATAAATATCACAATACACCACACTACCAATACCTATACAAAAGAATACTGTCAAGTAGTGTGATTTTTACAAATATTTACACCACGAAGGGGCATTAAGCATAAAAGGTTGCAAGGAATTAAATTTTCTTTCCAAAATGTTTAGCTCTACATATGTATGTATGTGTATGTACTCAGCCCTTTTTAACGTTCAAACAAAATAAGCCCAAACTCAAAGTATCTATTATTAGCCGTTGGAGAGTTCCACCTGTCCACCTTCTGGCCTTACCATCAGATCAGGTCAACAATATCGAACCACTGTACTATCAACGGAAATAGAAACACTTGCAAAGTTTCAAGTCAATATGACAATTAGAAGTAGGTTAAATCCATCATTAGCTATTTTTAGGGTGGTTTTTTTTTGAAATTTACATTGACCAATCTGGAAGTATACCCTTTGAAACAAAACAAAACCTCCTCCTTTTTGAAGTCAGTTGAAAAATCACTCATCACACTCTTGAATCATCAATTATACTAAAATCAATTTTGTCAGTCCGTGAGCAGCATTTCATATACCTAGGTACAGATCTGCTGAAGAATAAGAAAAAATCAAATTTTTAATAAAATATTAATAAACTATAAGACAAGGTATATTTGCAAAAATAATTTATTCTAAAAGATCTTAGGCAGTATATGGTTTTCCTAGAAAGGGACGAGTAACTTCCATAGAACAGGAGGCGAAATTTTAATTAGGTACATATACTAACTAACTTGATAGGCAATAAAATAAAATAATAAGCTCAGAAAATTTTACTCGTAGGTACAAATCCGATGGTTAGTATATTAATCAATAATTATAATTGCATGTATAATATTTCATACAATATATTTTACGCCACATTTATCCAGCCATCTGCTTACACTTCACCAAAACATGGAACTGACAACTAACAACTTGATAGAAACTTTAAGAGCTGTGACATGTCAATTTCACAAATGTGCACTAATCCTTAAATTATGTCAGAAATATTATTATAAGACTTAAAACGTTAGTAGTTAAGCTCAAAATACATTAAAGGGATTTTCTTGACACGAGTTGTTTGTTCAGCTAAAATTTGTGCTCCTTATTGCAAGAGAGACGATGGTTAGAAGAGCGATGTAACGAGTATATTATTCTCTTAGCTATATCGACTACATTTCTTTTGATTGAGATTTATATATGTATATATTATAGTAATAAGGGTAGAAGCCCTTTTCTATCACTACATAGTATAAAACAAAGTCGCTTCCCGCTGTCTGTCTGTCCCTATGTATGCTTAGATATTTAATACTACGCAACGGATTTTGATGCGGTTTTTTTAATAGATAGAGTGATTCAAGAGGAAGTTTTTAGTATATAATTTGTTAAGTTTTTGTATACCTAGGCTAAAATATAACGATATTTGTTGTAGGAGTCGGAAAAAAAAATAAGCCGTCTTGGAGCTTTCAACGAAAACGCTGCCCTTTGAGATGTAACAAAATAATGTATAGTGGAATTGTGTATCTTATATAGGTCTACAGAAAAGTCTGTGGTGGCATATATCCGTCTATTAACGATAACATACTATATCCCTTTTAATCTAAAACGTATCTAGAGACGAACCCGAGCGAATCGAGGGTGAGTCGCTAGTACTAGTACTATAAAAAGAACAGATTTTTTGTGTTTGTTAGTTTGTACCAAATAAGCTCCTAAACTGAACTGATTTAGATAAAATATGGTAAGAAGATTTTACTTATCAAATTTATAATATTTATCAAATTATAATAAACAATTTTTTCAAAACCGACGATATTGGTAGTATAATTAAGAAATTGTTAGTGGAATGTTTGAATAATAATGAATAATATACACTTTATTATTCGTTATTAAATTAAAGTAATTAGCTATTATTAGAATTGATATTATTAATATTTATAAATATTTTTCATTATTTTAGTTTGATTGTTATTATTATTATTCTTGAACTGATCAATAGCTGCATTTTATTTTTATCTGTTTGTTTTCGTAGCTGTTTTCTTTTCTTTTCATTGACACTGATTAATTTATGAAATGTTTTTAAGTGGATACTTTACTGGTTTGTGTTTTATATATACACTAGCAGAACCCGCGGCTTCGCTTGCGCTAAAACTACAAAAAAATCTCTAAAAAGGTAGTTTCACGCAAACTTTCATCCCCTATTTTATTCCCTTATAGGATAATAAGCATTAATGCCAAGTTTCAAGTAATTCTGACCACAAATATTTTTTTGGATTGTATTATAACGTGTTTTCTTCGTAGGAATTAGATGATCTCCCGCGGTAAAAAGTAGCCTATGTGACTCTTCAGCCTTCCAATTATATTCATACAAAAAATCACGCTAATCCGTCACTCCGTTTCGACGTGAAAGAAGGACAAACAAACAAACACACTTTCACATTAATATATTAGTATGGATATGGATTATTTATTTCTGAGTAATACTGCACTGTATGTTTCCCAAATATATTAAAAATAAAATAAAATCCCATGTCACGGTGTTTGTGGTCGTACTCCTCCGAAACGGCTCGACGGATTTTAATGAAATATTTTTTGTATATTTGGTAGGTATGAGAATAGGTAGTATTTTTCACAATCCTAAGCCCACCCCAAATTTTTTAATCGCGATTTTAGCATTTTTGTATAAACATTATTATATAAATACATAAAATGTATAACATAAAGCCAGAGTTTTTTTTAGATTGGACGCGGGCGTAGCCTCGGGTTCTGTTAGTACTTGTATACATTTCTTTAAATTTAGATACATAATTTATTGTAATTTTGTTTTTACTTAACAGATTTCGCGATGACAGCTTGCGGCTAATGGGAAATGATAGGTATTCCATATATTATATTCGGCATTGGCTTAAAAAACAGTTTTATTAATTGTTAATGAAATGTAACGGGTGAAAATGATAATAGTTACATTTTAGAAAAGGATTAAATAAAAATAAGGAGGGATAGTTCTAACTATGTAATATAATAAAATTATTATGTAATCTTCTGACCTTAAAATAAAACTTACAGTTTCTTTCCCGTCAAAAAATAGATATATATTTTCAACCGACTTCAAAAAGGAGGAGGTTCTCAATTCGACTGTATGTTTTTTTTTTTTATGTTTGTTACCTCAGAACTCCGTCATTTATTAACCGATTTGGACAATTTTTGTTTTGTTTGAAAGGGTATACTTCCAGATTGGTCCCATTTATTAATTTCAAAAAAAAAAAATACCACCCCTAAGGGTGGAAAAACAACTAATGATGAATTTAACCTACTTCTAATTGTCATATTGACTTGAAACTTTGCAAGTATTTCTATCCGTTGATAGTATAGTGGTCCGGTGTTGTTGACCTGATCTGATGGCAAGGCCAGAAGGTGGATAGGTGGAACTCTTCAACGGCTAATAGTAGATACTTTGAGTTTGGGCTTATTTTGTTTGATTTGACAAGCCTAACACGTTAGAATCCTTACTTTGCTACTACTGTCTACACTAAAAAGGGAAAAATAAAAACTTTTAACAAAAAAATAAAAACCAACTTCAAACAAAAGCACTGAAAAGTAAAAAATAACTGATTGGTAGTTTTCATTTACTATACATACCTAATCAAATATTTTCGAAGTCGGTGTGCTTTGGCTAAGTAATTAAAGCCTACCTATTAAATACATACCTAATCAAATATTTTCGAAATCGGTGCCAGCCCATACAAAGCAAAGCACACCGACTTCGAAAATATTTGATTAGGTATGTATAGTAAATGAAAACTACCAATCAGTTATTTTTTACTTTTCAGTGCTTTTGTTTGAAGCCGGTTTTTATTTTTTGTTAAAAAGTTTTTATTTAATACTTTATATATAATATCATTTCATGTTCTCACTTATTATTACCATTTTAAAGTCCCTTAGGAGCAGCGTTTGGGAATTTTCTACAAATCGTTTTGCGGGTATCATTGATATAGGCCGGATCAAACACGCCCTGAATGCCAAA